GACAGATTGTAGTGTTTTCATATTTTAGCATACACTTTTCATATTAATGCGAAATTCCTGTTATTTTTCAAAGATTTTTCACAAAAACAAGCATATCTCTGTGAAATGGAGCATATCTCTGTGAAATGGAACACTAAGCTTATCGCAAGCTTTTTATTTTCAAAGCTTTTTACATTTAATTCAGCTCGTGTCATGTTCATTTAGCTTTTTTGTGTCCCACGGAAACAACTTTGCAGAGGACCACGACAACATGTAAAATCCTCATACATTACTGCGAGAAAATGGTACCGCTCTGTCAACAGTGTTCGGTGCTTATTGTCGGATGCATGAGGTTACGAAATCCAACTTTTTGGATATAATGTTAATGATATGTTAGAGAAAGATACCACTGAAAGATTCAGAACATAAATAATCGTATTTGTCTTGGCAAAATGTATTTTATAACATAAGGAAGTTAAATTTCTTCACAAAAGCATGTTTTCACCCACTCAGAGTGGACGGGAGCTATAATCCAGTGTCGTTATTGCTTGAATTCAGGTTTGGGGATTAACTGCTTTCAACTGGGAAAGATTGCTTCCATACCCAACTTTCATGATTTAGTTGAAAACGTTACTTTGTGCAGCTATGCTAAATATAGATCAGGAATCCAATTGAAAGTGTAAAGGTGCTCACCACTTTGTCCATGCTGCTACAGACTGAAAGAGTGTAAAGATAATGTGTTTTTTATACAGTAATGTTACTCATTTCCTGTAACAAAATGTTGCGCAATCTGAACTTCCTGGGATCCAATAACAATTGCGCAATTACATACAAAATATAACAGTACATAGCACAACATATTATTACACTCTACCACAACATATCTATTATACAAAATCAATTACACAGCAATGTAACAATATTAAAATCAACAAAAAAGTACATAAATACACAGAATGATAAATGAAGCTCTCATGGTTTGCTACCAAATGTGATTTAAACAATCAAAATATCATCGACATCGCATATTTCAAATGTTTTAATTATTACTCACAATAATGGCACAATAATTGCACATTGGCACAAAAATGCGTGACCACAGTCCAAACATAAAAGCATAGAAAGTTTTGAGAACATTTTGGTTACACTTACACAATTTACAGTACAATTTACAGTACACTGTCTCAGAGCAAAACACTTACAGTTTACAGTACAATGTACAGTACACTGTCTCAGAGCAAAACATGGTGTAGTATGTACAGTATACAGTATCCTGAAATATAAAAACATTCAACCACTAGATGGGGGAAAGGATTGGAAGGAAAGGCCAACGTTTTCTCAAAAGAATGCTTGAATTTGTATAAGATGGCATGCAAAGTGACAGGACATACGCTTAAGCTCAATAAATAGAGAATCCACCAAACAATTACAGTAGTCCCTCATATTTCACCCTAGATGTAGCCTACATTAAAACCAAAATATGGAGTTGTGTTTCTGGAGAAATGTCTTTGGATAAATTTTTACACTCTCAAACTCATAGAGGCAGCTATGGTTTCAAGGAATGACAGTTCACACAGGAATTCTGAAGCAATACATTCTCTGTTTACAAAGATTTAAATGACAACCAAAATATAAATGGAGAATGGAGTGATCTAACATCATATTTTGGGTTGCGATAGGGTATGTAAATAAATTATAAATTTCAAGCATCCAAGGGTATTGAAGGTGTCTCTGGAGAAATGTTGCCGATCTCAAACTCTTGAACGCAGCTATGGCTGCAAGGACTGACAGTTTTCACAGGTATGTTGTTGCAATACATTCTTTGTTTACAAAGATTCATAGACAAAAATATAAGCAATGGAGTAATCTAACATAATGCTTTGGGTTGCGATAAGGTAAGTAAATAAGGTATATTTTTCAAGCATGTATGGGGGGATAGACGACCATTTCACATTAGGAAATATCAAAGATTCTATACCTTTAAATTGAATGTATGAGTAAGTCTTTGACTTAATATATTGAAGCTCAGTACAAAATAAAGCTCAGCATTAAACTCTTTAGGTTTGAATAAGTCATAAGGTTATTTTAGAATAGTGAAATATGAATTATATTATCTTCATATTCAGTCTCAGTAAGTACTCTGATATAGAAAAGTATAAAAATGAAATAGCCTACAGTGCAACAACTCACAATGGTATCGATAGATTTGGTATTTTTTCACAGTTATATATGTGGGCTAATGTAGTTGGAGCACAAAATGCTCTAATAGAAGGAGTGTCTGCAGGAGCGTGCAGGTGATTGTATTATTAAGAGATGATGAGCAAAAGACTGTGTAGACAAGGACAAACCAAAAATGGTCCATCATAATAAACTAACCTGTTGATTTCTACATTCAAACTGCATGAACACAGTTGTCAAAGCATGATTTGAACTACACTTAATCATGTCTGCATTTTGCGAAAAGTGATAAAAGTAATGTCACCCAAGATCACTTTCTGAGTGAAAATCCAAAACAAGATCTACCTCTCAAAAATGTTTCAATAGGATCTACATGGTGAAAGGAAAAAATTTACTTCTTGACTTTTTGTTTCCAACGTAGCATAACAGCCATTGCCTCTAAGGAGTAGGTGGCTTTATTTCACCAAACATCTGCTTTTTATGATATGTACACAGCTGCTATCCACTGGCTAGCTAAACAATGACCAGCTAAAAAAAGATACAGGGGCGGCAGGTAGCTTAGTGGTTAAGAGCGTAGTGCCAGTAACCGAAAGGTCGCTGGTTCTAATTCCCGAGCCAACTAGGTGAAAAATCTGTCGATGTGCCCTTGAGCAAGGCACTTAATCCTGATTGCTCCTGTAAGTCGCTCTGGATAAGACTAAAATGTAAAATGAGGCACCTACAACAGAACAGACAGTTTAAAAAACAAGCTTTGGCCCAGCCAGTAGCATAGTAAACACACTAGTGAATTGGATTAAAAGATAGGTTCCATTTGTTTTAACCTATGAATTGGGACAATGGGCACTTGAAAAGAGGGATCATCCTGCTAATAACCCTAGGCATAGCTATTGAATTTGTTTGTGTCAGTGAATCTCATCGAGGCCCCCAACAAAAGACTGAGAATAACCAACCAAGGAAGTCTGAAATAACAACAGTGCAATGGTTAAATGGGAATTTTCTCCAGTAACAACTGTGCCTCCATTATGTTTTCTAGATGAATATTTACTATAATTTTGTCTTAACGTCCTCTTTAGGATGTAACACCTTCTCTTGGATGTGAATTATCATGTCACCCTCTCAGTAACTTCCTGTTTTCTCTCTCCTTCATGCAGTGTCGACGTCATCGCTGTTCGCCATGCGATATAACTGGATTTGATAATAAACGGATGTCAGGTTAGGGTTGTCTCTAAGCGGATCCAGTTCTGCTATACGTGTTCGCTCCTCCTAGACAGGGAGAGGGAAGGAGGTAGGGAGGGAAGGATTGAGAGGGACAAGGAAAGAGGGGCAGAGAAGGGAGGGGCGAGAAAAGGAGTAGGAAAGCAAAAAATAAAAATGAGTAATATGTTTCATTATTAGATACTTTGTCTCATTGTTCTGCAGTAGGTAACTCAACAGTCAACACAACACACATCTAGAACCATTCCTAAAGGTAGTAGGAGTAACCACGAAGCCAAGCTTTAAAGTTCACAGACTTGACAAACACTGTTAAAGACATGGGAAGATCAAAGGCATTACTATACCGAACAAGATTATAAATGCAACATGCAACAATTTCAACGATTTACTGAGTTAGGCCCACCCACCGAAAGCCAGGCCCAGAAAATGAGAATGAGTTTTTTCCCACAAAAGGGCTTTATCACAGAGAGAAATACTCCTGAGGCTGGTTAGACGTACTGCCAAATTCTCTAAAATGACGTTGGAGGCGGCTTATGATTGAGAAATTATCATTTAATTATCTGGCAACAGCTCTGGTGGACATTCCTGCAGTCAGCATGCCAATTTCACGCTCCCTCAACACTTGAGACATCTTTGGCATTGTGTTGTGTGACAAAACTACACATTTAAGAGTGGCCTTTTATTGTCCCCAGCACAAGGTGCACCTGTGTAATGACCATGCTGTTTAATCAGCTTCTTGACATGTCACACTTGTCAGGTGGATGGATTATCTTGGCAAAGGAGAAATGCACTGATGTAAACAAATTTGTGCACAACATTTGAGATAAATAAGCTTTATGTGCATATGGAACATTTCTGGGATCTTTTATTTCAGCTCGTGAAACATGGTTGGTCCCACTTTACATGTTGCATTTATATTTTTGTTCAGTGTATATACAATATGTGTTTTGTGGCTTGTCATTATGCAAACCAATCATATCATATGGGCAAAACTGGTTGCAATGACATCAGGCCGGTTATTAAACTCAGGTGGTCTGTGCAACTCAAGACCACATTAACCAACTGGCACAGCGCTAAAGGCTATAGTTGTAACAAAACTGCTGTATTACATCTCCTATGTTTATCAGCCTGTAGCATTATTACTAACCTGGTTATCTGCTGGATTAATGTGAGTTATGGCTGTGTACTGAATGTCATCTTGCTTTCTTCCGGGTGAATCTATAAAGGCAAATAAAGAAATGAAATGTACAATGTAGGTGGGAGTAAGTGACAGATATGCACAAATGCACATCCCCAAGACAGGTTCTGCAAACACTAAGGACTCATGTTACTATGGGTACCTGTGTCTGTGTTAGCGGTCTTTTTGGCGCCAGAGAAACTATAAAGTAATCATTGTCAGAGTGTGTGTGGATATGTGCCTTCTGCTTTTTCAACATTTAGAGAAGTGGTCTGAGATAATGCAACTGTCTGACCAAGCAGAGGAAGTGTGGAAGACATGTCTCTTCATTTGACCTGGATCCGTTGTTCAGGCAAACATTTCCTACCTTTTCCAAAACCCTATCGTTGATAATTTAAAAAAGATTTGACTTTGACAAGGAGAATGACCCCGCTAACAGATAAATACCTGCCTTGTGAGTGTCCATTTCTACCTTTCTTTAGATAGATTGAAAGTCCAACAAGTCCTGAGGCAAATAAAACGCAGATTACAGCAATAATAAGACAATCTTGTGTCCTCTCATCACCGTCTAAAATAAAAAGAGAGAATATTGTGTTTCATAAAATGAGCTTATTAGCCATACTTATTGTTTCATATTGAATTTGGTATTGTCTGGATATCAGCAAATTAACATTGCTGATGAAGAACAGCGCCGGAGAAGATGGCTGCCGTTTTACAGCCCTCTAAACAATTGTACTATTATGTGTGTTTTTCCGCGTTATTTGTAATTTATTTTGTACATAATGTTTCTGCCATCGTCTCTTATAACCAAAAAGAGCTTCTGGATATCAGGACAGCGATTACTCACCTCGCATTGGACGAAGATTTTTTCTTCAACGAGGCGGTCGCGATGGATATCCTACAGACACCCGACAAGGCCCAGATCCCCGTCATTCGCGTGAGGAAGAGACGGAGATATCGCGGACGCAGATCCGGGTGCCTTGTAAGGATCCGACGGCGAGCGAGTAAACTGCCTCTCCCATCAATCCTATTAGCCAACGTTCAAGCTTTTGAGAATAAAATGGACGATTTAAGATTATGGTTATCCTACCAACGGGACATTAAAAACTGTAATATCTTATGTTTCACGGAGTCGTGGCTGAACGACAACAATGATAACATTCAGCTAGCAGGCTATACGCTACATCGGCAGGACAGAACGTCTGACTCTGGTAAGACAAGGGGTGGCGGTCTCTGTATATTTGTAAACAACAGCTGGTGCACAAAATCAAATACTAAGGAAGTCTCGAGGTTTTGCTCGCCTGAGGTAGAGTATCTTATGATAAGCTGTAGACCACACTATTTACCAAGAGAGTTTTCATCTATATTTTTCATAGCTGTCTATTTACCACCACAAACCAATGCTGGCATTAAGATTGCACTGAATGAGTTGTACAAGGCCATTAATCAACAGGAAAACGCTCATCCAGATGCAGCGCTCCTAGTGGCCGGGGACTTTAATGCAGGGAAACTTAAATCCGTTCTACTTAATTTCTACCAGCATGTTAAATGTGCAACCAGAGGGAAAAAAACTCTAGACCACCTTTACTCCACACACAGAGACGCATACAAAGCTCTCCCTCGCCCTCCATTTGGCAAATCTGACCATAACTCTATCCTCCTGATTCCTGCTTATAAGCAAAAACTGAAGCAGGAAGCACCAGTGATTTGGTTAATAAAAAAGTGGTCAGATGACGCAGATGCTAAGCTACAGGACTGTTTTGCTAGCACAGACTGGAACATGTTCCGAGATTCTTCAGACAGCATTGAGGAGTACACCACATCAGTCACTGGCTTCATCAATAAGTGCATCGATGATGTCGTCCCCACAGTGACCGTACGTACATACCCCAACCAGAAGCCATGGATTACAGGAAACATCCGCACTGAGCTAAAGGGTAGAGCTGCCGCTTTCAAGGAACGGGACTCTAACCCGGACGCTTATAAGAAATCCCGCTATGACCTCCGACGAACCATCAAACAGGCAAAGAGTCAATACAGGTCTAAGATTGAATCATACTACACTGGCTCTGACGCTCGTCGGATGTGGCAGGGCTTGAAAACTATTACAGACTACAAAGGGAAGCACAGCCGCGAGCTGCCCAGTGACACAAGCCTACCAGACGAGCTAAACCACTTCTATGCTCGCTTCGAGGCAAGCAACACTGAAGCATGCATGAGAGCACCAGCTGTTCCGGATGACTATGTGATCACGCTCTCCGTAGCCGATGTGAGTAAGACTTTTAAGCAGGTCAACATTCACAAGGCCGCAGGGCCAGACGGATTACCAGGACGTGTACTCCGAGCATGTGCTGACCAACTGGCAAGTGTCTTCACTGACATTTTCAACATGTCCCTGACTGAGTCTGTAATACCAACATGTTTCAAGCAGACCACCATAGTCCCCGTGCCCAAGAACTCTAAGATAACCTGCCTAAATGACTACCGACCCGTAGCACTAACGTCTGTAGCCATGAAGTGCTTTGAAAGACTGGTCATGGCTCACATCAACAGCATAATCCCAGAAACCCTAGACCCACTCCAATTTGCATACCGCCCCAACAGATCCACAGATGATGCAATCTCTATCGCACTCCACACTGCCCTTTCCCACCTGGACAAGAGGAACACCTACGTGAGAATATTATTCATTGACTACAGCTCAGCATTCAACACCATAGTGCCCTCTAAGCTCATCACTAAGCTAAGGATTCTGGGACTAAACACCTCCCTCTGCAACTGGATCCTGGACTTCCTGACGGGCCGCCCCCAGGTGGTAAGGGTAGGTAACAACACATCTGCCACACTGATCCTCAACACCTCAACACCATAACTTGCTACATTTGCACACACTGTATATATATTTTCTGTTGTATTTCTGACTTTATGTTTTTTTTACCCCATATGTAACTCTGTGTTGTTTTTATTGCACTACTTTGCTTTATCTTGGCCAGGTCGCAGTTGTAAATGAGAACCTGTTCTCAACTGGCTTACCTGGTTAAATAAAGGTTAAATAAAAAAATAAAAAATAATATAAAAAATAAACACGGGGGCCCCTCAGGGGTGCGTGCTCAGTCCCCTCCTGTACTCTCTGTTCACCCATGACTGCATGGCCAGGCACGACTCCAACACCATCATTAAGTTTGCCGACGACACAACAGTGGTAGGCCTGATCACCGACAACGATGAGACAGCCTATAGGGAGGAGGTCAGAGATCTGGCCGTGTGGTGCCAGGACAACAACCTCTCCCTCAACGTGACCAAGACAAAGGAGATGATTGTGGACTACAGGAAAAAAAAGAGGACTGAGCACGCCCCCATTCTCATCGACGGGGCTGTAGTGGAACAGGTTGAGAGCTTCAAGTTCCTTGGTGTCCACATCACCAACGAACTATCATGGTCCAAACACACCAAGACAGTCGTGAAGAGGGCACGACAAAGCCTATTCCCCCTCAGGAGACTAAAAAGTTTTGGCATGGGTCCTCAGATCCTCAAAAAAATCTACAGCTGCAACATCAAGAGCATCCTGACTGGTTGCATCACCGCCTGGTATGGCAACTGCTTGGCCTCTGACCGCAAGGCACTACAGACGGTAGTGCGTACGGCCCAGTACATCACTGGGGCAAAGCTCCCTGCCATCCAGGACCTCTATACCAGGCGGTGTCAGAGGAAGGCCCTCAAAATTGTCAAAGACTCCAGCCACCCTAGTCATAGACTGTTCTCTCTGCTACCGCACGGCAAGCGGTACCGGATTGCCAAGTCTAGGTCCAAAAGACTTCTCAACAGCTTCTACCCCCAAGCCATAAGACTCCTGAACAGCTAATCATGGCTACCCGGACTATTTGCACTGCCCCCCCACCCCATCCTTTTTACGTTGCTGCTACTCTGTTAAGTATTTATGCATAGTCACTTTAACTCTACCCACATGTACATATTACCTCAACTACCTCAACTAGCCGGTGCCCCTGCACATTGACTCTGCAACGGTACCCCCCTGTATATATAGCCTCCCTACTGTCACTTTATTTTACTGTATATATAGCCTCCCTACTGTCACTTTATTTTACTTCTGCTCTTTTTTTCTCAACACTTTTTTTGTTGTTGTTTTATTCTTACTTTTTTTGTTTAAAATAAATGCACTGTTGGTTAAGGGCTGTAAGTAAGCATTTCACTGCAATGTCTGCACCTGTTGTATTCGGCGCATGTGACCAATAAAATTAGATTTGATTTGATTTGATTTTGGGTTTTTTTACCTGTCACCTTGGAGGGATCACTCTCTATACAGGAATTTGGAACAACAGTGGTCTCCTTGCTGACTGGGTTGGCAGCCTCACATCTGTAAGAGTCTCTGTTCTCTTCATCCACCTTGAGAGGTAGAGAGAGGGTGATTTTGAGGTCAGGGCTGCTGCTCTGGTTGAGTATCTCTCCTCCTCTGTACCAGGACAGGGTCACATCTCTCCCGTTCTCCACAGAACACACCATGCTACAGGAGCTGTTGTCATGGACCGTCACCTGAGGTTTGGACAGAACATCTGGAAGACAAATAATGAATAAATGGGAATTGTTGAAATGGAACTTATCTTTAAAGTGGCAAAGAGCAGTTGTTACATACATTTTTGGACTTATAAATTAATGATATGTACCCATTGATTCTTGAAGAATATAACTTATAAATGCCTCATCAGCTTAGTCCCCGTCAGAGAACCCATAAGCTTGTTTTATTCTGGTGTTTGTAAACAAGAAATTGTAAACAAACACTATATAGTCTCAAAACATGGTTAAAACTATACATTGTTATATAATGGCTGGTCAGTCCTTGCATCCATAGCTCTGTCTATGAATTTGAGAGTGGTTAAATTTCTCCAGCCCCATCCCTCAGCTTTTTACAGAACTAGGGGCGGGGAGAACGCTTTATTAACGTTTCTACTGCTGATTGCCACTTTAATGATTTTGTCATTTACAACACACACCCACACACACACACACACACACACTTACAGTACACAGTCAGCTGAAATGTATGTGTTGTCTTCTCTTCAACTTCATCTGCATTCTCCACGGTATAAACCCCAGAATCCTCTATTTGTAGGTCTGACAAAGTGAAGAATCCAGTAACATTGTTCCAGTGAAGGCGGTATTTAAATCTCTTCACAAGGTTGGTATTACTTTGTTTACCAGGGTACACCTGTGCAATAATGCCATAGTCTCCATAATGTAAATTGCCAGACTTCAACACCCTCTCTGGAAAAGAGAGGAACTTTCCCACAATGCCTTTCCCCTGCCAAGTCTCAGGTTGGGCTGAATGCTGGGCTGCACAGAGTACTGTGGAGAGAAAGAGAGACTCAATATCAACACATTGACTTAAATATCATAGTTCTTCTCTAATAACATAGCAATGTAGAAAATTACAGTTTTTCTCAAATGCTTAAAGAAAATGTGTCCAAACAGAATTCACTTTTTTGAAACAATTAACATGCAGCCCCAACTGAAACACATTGGCCAAAATTACTCATTTCATTTGCAAAATGCATTAAGACTCTCAAAACATTAAATACATGATACAAAATCAACTACCTCCATCAGAACATACAACTTGTTATCTAATGAAAAGTTATTTCAATCAATCGTTACACAATGGCCCAATAAATACTAACTACAACTATCAATATACCCTAACATGGTTAACCTTCCTATATATTTCTCTGCCATTTACTGATACTATAATAATAGTATGCACCATAAAAGACAAGTAAACATATTATCACAGCATGGGCTGTATTCTTTTTTTCCTAAGATGATTTTACCAAAGATGACCAAAGCAGAAAGAATGTCACTCAGAGCATGAATATCCAGAAACAAAATGCTTTCTTTTAACTTTTTCCATGTTGTCCTTTACAAATTCAATGATGCTGTACAGTATATACAGAGAATAAAAACTAAAAAAGGCAAAACCAATACAATATACACCACATTCAGTCCACTCGTTCTTGTCAATCAGGCCACATGATTTCATCAACATCACACTGGATTTTTTCCCATGCAGCGCAGCGAGGAAAAATCTCTCCTTGCATGGCGCATTCACGCTTGCCAGTCTTCTGCAGTGATTGCCATACAATAGGCAGTCATTGTGTCTAGGAGGGACATCTGGTCATGTAGAAGGTAATCATAAACTTTCCACCTCCACACATCTGAACCCCTCTTCCTCTATGGGCCCCTCTACCTCTCCTTTGTCCTTGCCCTCGGCCTCTTACTTGGTCCATCCTTGCAAACAGCAACTCAGAGGTGAGTGACCATTTTAATGTATGAAAAAGGACTGATTGCTGATTGAACAATTGTGTAAAGAAGTTTTGCACATGTGCAAAAGTGGTTCACATTCATGGGTGTAATTTGTATCAGCTGTCACCAAATGTTTACATGATTTACTCAACTGAGTTTTACATCTTTTGTAGAGAGTTGGGTTTACTGTTTTGCAAAAATGTGCTTAGCATTTGCATTTTGTGTGAAAGCAATGAGTGACTTAGTATACTGTTGTGCTCATTAGGTTATGATGGAGATCAGTTTCATGAAACATTTAATTAAAAGTGTCTTAGCGATCGAGAAAAGCTGTGAAGGCCTGATGTGATGAAACCAAAAATGGTTCTTCAAAGGGTTCTCCTATGGGGACAGCTGAAGAACCCTTTTAGGTTCTAGATAGCACCTTTTTTTCTAAGAGTGTACACACTAAAATTAAGTTCACATGGAAATAAAGACTATCTCAGCAAATTCTTCTTCTGCTGTTAATTGCACAATCACTGAAATGCCATCACTGTAAAAAAAACACAATCCTTTATTACTTCATTTTTTTATACCTTTATTTTGACGGGGAAATCCCATTCAGACCATAACCTATTTTGCAAGAGAGCCCTGCATGTACACAAATTATACAAAATGTACAACCTGAATTGCCCTAGAGGCACCAGAGCGTCAAGGTAAAGAGAGCTCTGCAGATCATTCCATATATGGGGCGCAAAAAAACTTATTGCAGATTTACCTACTGTAATTCTGTAGTGATCAATGGGACATCTAGAGTTAGCCATCCCTGTGATCAGGTCTGGTAACTCGTATGTCTGTAATTTAACAATGAGGTAAAGTATGACGGAAGTTTGCACAAGAGGCCTTTATAAACAAAAAGAGAGCAACGTATTGATCTACGAGACTTAGGGGAGGGCCAGCCTACTTTCTGATATAGGATGCAATGATGTGTACTGAACCTGTCACCCATAATAAAGCGAAGTGTGCTGTTCTAAACTGCATCTAATGGTTGCAGTGTAGTGGCAGTTGCATTCATATAAATGGTGTCACCGCAATCTACACACAATACCCCATAATGAAAAAGTGAAAACAGGTTTTTTGAAATGTTAGCAAATGTATATATATATTTTTTACAGAAATACCTTATTTTCATAAGTATTCAGACACTTTGCTATGAGACTCGAAATTGAGCTCAGGTGCATTCTGTTTCCATTGATCATCCTTGAGATGTTTCTACAACTTGATTGGAGTCCACCTGTGGTAAATTCAATTGATTGGACATGATTTGGAAAGACACAGAACTGTCTATAAAAGGACCCACAGTTGACAGTGCATGTCACAGCAAAAACCAAGCCATGAAGTAGAAGGAATTGTCCGTAGAGCTCCGAGACAGGATTGTGTCAAGGCACAGATCTGGGGAAGGGTACCAAAAAATGTCTGCAGCATTGAAGGTCCCCAAGAACACAGTGCCCTCCATCATTCTTAAATGGAAGAAGTTTGGAACCAGCAAGACTCTTCCTAGAGCTGGCTGCCCACCCAAACTGAGCAATTGGGGGAGAAGGGCCTTGGTCAGGGAGGTGACCAAGAACCCGATGGTCACTCTGACAGAGCTCTACAGTTCCTCTGTGGAGATGGGAGAACCTTCCAGAAGGACAACCATCTCTGCAGCACTCCACCAATCAGGCCTTTATGGTAGAGTAGCCAGACAGAAGCCACACCTCAGTAAAAGGCACATGACAGCCCGCTTGGAGTTTGGCAAAAGGCACCTAAAGACTCTCAGACCAAGAGAAACAAGATTATATGGTCTGATGAAACCAAGATTGAACTCTTTGGCCTGAATGCCAAGCATCACATCTATAGGAAACCTGGCACCATCCCTACGGTGAAGCATGGTGGTGGCAACATCATGCTGTGGGGATGTTTTTCAGCAGCAGGGACTGGGAGACTAGTCATGATCGAGGTAAAGATGAACGGAGCAAAGTACAGAGAGATCCTTGATGAAAACCTGCTCCAGACCGTTCAGGACCTCAGACTGGGGTGAAGGTTCTTCTTACAACAGAACAACAACCCTAAGCACACAGCCAAGATAACGCAGGAGTGGCTTCAGGACAAGTTTCTGAATGTCCTTGAGTGGCCCAGCCAGAGCCCGAACCTGAACCCGATCGAACATCTCTGGAGAGACCTGAAAATAGCAGCGATGCTCCTCATCCAACCTGACAGAGATTGAGAGGATATGCAGAGAAGAACGGGAGAAACTCACCAAATACAGGTGTGCCAAGCTTGTAGCGTCATACGCAAGAAGACTTGAGGCTGTAATCGCTGCCAAAGGTGCTTCAACAAAGTACTGAGTAAAGGGTCTGAATACCTACGTACATTTTATATTTCAGTTTTTTATTTTTAATACACTTGCAAAAAAAAAAAAACTCTTTTTGGGGGTATTGTGTATATATTGATGAGGGGGGGGCGGGAAAACAATTTTTAAACATTTTAGAATAAGGCTGTAACGTAACAAAATGTGGAAAAAGTAAAGGGGTCTGAATACTTTCCGAATGTGCTGTATATACCGGGATAGGCAGCCACCGTCTTGATTGTGTGTTCAAGGTTTTAAGCGTTAGCTAGTTATCTAGTTGCCTGCCTTTGAGCACATCCTGTACATCTTAGATTTTCCAGATATATACTCAGCCATTTGCAGGTGTTTAGTTCTGTATCTTTCTTTTATTACCGGACAGTTGTTAAACACAGGTATTTGAATTAGGTAGATGGAATTTAACCAGTGACTGATATAGATGTACATATGGTTGACCAAAAAATAGTGGGTAAATGAGGGACGTCTGTTGAAATCAGAAGAAGGGTTGTATACAAAATGCTGTGCATGCCTGGCTGGCTGCCTATACATTGAATATACCAAACAATGCAAACAATCACACACAACACACAATGAACGACAGAGGGTTAAATAGGGAATACAATACAACATAATAGGAAACAGGTGTACACAATCAAGACAAAACAAGTCAAACACAGAAACATAGATCGGTGGCAGCTAGTACTCCAGGGACGACGAACGCCGAAGCCTGCCCGAGCAAGGAGGAGGAGCAGCCTCGGCTGATTCCGTGACAGTATCCCCCCCTTGACGCGCGGCTCCATCCGTACGCCGACCCCGGCCTCGGGGACGGCCAGGAGGACGCGGA